TTCCAGTTTTGTTTGATACTTACAACAACCTTGTTAGGTGGTGTTCTTGTCCCAGTTAGAGAAGTGAAATGACTCACCCTTGGTCACACAGCAAATACGTGGCAGAGCCAGAAGTGCAATCCTGGTCTGTCCAACTCCATGACCTGATTTAGCTGGAAGTTTTTTTTTTTTTTTTTAATTGTAAATTAGAGAAATCAGGGTAAAATTGATGTAAGCAACAAAGTCCAAAGGTAGCTGGTTCCAGGGGCTTACATATAAGTTCATCAGGACTATCTCCATCTGTCTGCTCTATTCTCCTCTGTGTTAACTTTAGTCTCAGGAGGGCTCTCCTCGTGTGGGATCGGAGTGGTACAGCTCTGGCTTAGTGAGCTCAGCACTTAATGAGCTCACAATAATTCAAACAAACATCTCAGCTAGTATTCATTGGCCAGGGCAGTGAAGCATCTCTATTGGCCAGTCTTAGATCACATAAACATTCCCTGGAGTGCAGAAGGGATGGAATTAGCCATTCTTAAACCTCACTGGTGAAACCGGGGGAGCTGAGGTTCCCCTATAGGAAAATGGTACTGTTGGGAGGCTCCCCTACAGAAAAACAGCAACTGTCAGGAGTGGATGCTGGACAGGCAAAAGCAAAAGAAGTCCACTCTATCTCCCATACCCCATAGTCTACCTGGCTTCTCCTACTCCCCTTGCTCACAGCTCCTATTTATCTCCATGGTCACAAGGGACCTCTTAGATCCAGGGTGGCTGCTGGGTGCTTGGGCTGCATCCCTCACCCTGCCCCTCCTGGCCTCCCTGGTGTTCTGCTCTGGCCCAGACCTGATGCTGTTCCTCTACCCTTTAACTTCTCCATGTTCAGTAGAGTAAGTCTTCATGTGTATGTGAGATGGCAGCCCCCGTTCCAGACAGCACATCCTCAACAGCCACATCCAGGAGTAGAAAGGGGGCCTTTCTCCTGGTTGGAAACTTTCTCCTGGCCTTACTAACCCCTCGTCAAGGAGAGTGAGCCATGCTTCTTGGCTGTGACAGAGCATCTTTGCGGGGCACTGCTGGCACTTTGGGAGGATGGTGATTCATTTTGTGGACTGTCCCACACATTGCAGGACATTTGGCAACCCTGGACCCTGCACAAAAACTCTGTAGCAGCCCCACCATAGTCACTGGGACTGCAGCACCTAGGACCCTGCTGAGGGTATGGCACTGCTCCCCACCTGCCCTACCCCAAACCACTCCCTTTCATAAATGGAGATTTGCCTCTGAGGCTGGGAAGCTTGTCCTGATTATAGGGTCTTATGGAGGGATCCTTGAACAGGATAGCAGATTATTAGCAAGGGAAAAGGGGACAGTGTCTGATGGGGAGGCCTCAGCAGTGGGCGTGAATATCCAGGGGTTTGGGCCACACTCCATGCCTTGTCACCCTCTTCCCTTCTTCCTTACTTTTGGTCTATCAACAGGTCGTGTTGGCTGACCCTCCCAAAGGTGCCTCCAGTCTACCCACTATCATCTCCTGGGCTGTCACAAGAGCTCCTCACTGGCCACACATACTCCCACACAGCAGTCAGGCAACCTTCTCCACATGTAAATTGGGTCTTGTCACCTTCCTTCCCATAACACCCTTCTCCTCGTGCTTAGTATGATCTTACACTATACGTGTTTACATGGCCCCCTGTGACCTGGCCCTTCCGAATCTCATTTCCAGCCACATTGACCTGCTTTTTGCCCTGTAAAAATCAGGTCAAGCCTGATTCTACCTCAGGGCCTTTGCATTTGCTGTCTTCTCTCTGGAATGCTCTTTGTCCAGATTTTCCCAAGGCTGGTTCCTCAGTTATTTAGATCTCAGATGTCACCTTGCCAGAAGGCCTTGTCTGACTACCCAGTCCAAAGCAGTATCCTATGTACACTGAGATTAAAGCTAAGTTGTTGAAACAAGACCAAGATAACAAGATAGGAGGTTTCTGTCTGTCACCGTGGAGGGGCCCAGAGACTTTTTGTATTGCTTTCTTATCCTCAACCTGTGGCTTATCTCTCCTAGTCTAAGATGACTGCTCCTGCTCCCATCACCATGTCTGTATTTCAGCCAATGGAAAAAGAGAAAAGCATGTCCTAAAATTGGCTAGCCTCACTCTTCTTACATCCCATTGGATAAAACTCAGTCACGTGGCAATACCCAGCTACAAGGGAGGCTGGGAAAAGTAGGCATTGTTTTGGGAAACCATGCGCCAGCTAAAATCCAAGGGTTTTGCTACTAAAGGGATGGAAGGATGTTGGGAGATTCCCACCATCTCTGTTGTGTTTCCTGTCATTCTATTACACTCCTCTGTTTTATTTCCTTCTTACTACTATTTTTTTTTTTTTTTTAAACGTATGGGTTTTTATGCATATTGTCAGCCTTCCTTCCCTAGAATGAAGGCCCTGTGAGGGCAGGGCCTGGTTTGTCCTGTTCCCTGCTGTGTCCTGGCATCTAGACTTGTGCCTTGTTCATCATAGGTGCTCAGGGATGCCAGCCGAGTGAGTGGGAGAATGAATGAATGCCTCACTGCAAGGAGGACCTGTTTGGCCACCTCTTCCATCAGGAGGGAACAGGGAAGAAGCCAACTTCTTTCTTTGGAGCTATTATGTGCCAGGCATATATTTTCATCTTGAATATTTCCTGTTACCCTGGAGGAGGTGGTTGCTGTGTCTTCACTTTACAGATGGAGACGTGATCATTGTGGTAGTTAAGGTTGTGTGTCAACTTGGCTGGGCTGTGGTTCTGAGTGGCTTGGCAGCTGGATGTAGTTATTCTCCATGATGAGATTGTCATCATCTCTGTGGTGGAATCTGCTATGAGATGTTGATCACTGGAAAGGAAGCTGCCTTTGGGGTGTGGCTTGCTTCCAGTATAGAAAGAGAGGCTTTGAGAAAGGTCTCTAGCTTTTGACATATCTGGACGCTGCATTTGGCTGGGTCTTGGTCTCTTATATTGCCTGCTGATCTTGTGACTGTGCCATTTTACCTGTTGACTTTGGGTTTGTCAGCCTCAGCAGCCCGCAGCTGCATGAGTTAAGAGAAGCCTTCAGCTCTAGTGGGCCTGGAATAAGAGGCAAAGCTGAAGCCCAAGGTTGAGGGGCCTTCACCCAGCCCCTAGAGCTGGCACTCTGAATTTGAACTTCTAGCCTCCTAAACTGTAAGAATAAGTTCCTGTTAGAGCCATCAACTTGTGATATTTCTGGTATAGCAGCACTAGAGAATGAAGACCAAACTAGACAATGAAGAGCAAATGGCACATGGCCTGCTAGAGAGGAGGGGAAATTAACCTGTCTCTAGTCTACTTCCTTCTGAGTCTTGTCTCTCTCTTAAAGAGCCAGTGGTGTCACTAGCAATTTGAATGCTAGGACATATAGAGAAACTGTCCCTACATCCCTCCAGCCCTTGTTGTGAGCCGTACCATTGCTCAGGTGTAAAGTTAATGACAGCACAAGCAACACAGCAATTTGTGGTTTTGAATCTTGTGTACAGTGACTCATACAGCATGCCTGCTCTCATGCCTCACTTTACTCAACATCATATTTGTGATATTTGCCCTTGAGGCTGTGTGCAATAGTCATCCATTCTTTTTATGATTGCATATCATTCTACCGTATGAATATGCCATCATTTATGGGGTGCATTCTGCTGCTGGTGAGCATTCAGGCTGCTTCCAGCCTAGTGCTGTATGAACCTCCCAGGACCTGTCTTTGGTGCACCTGTATGCACATTTCTGTTGGGAGTGGAGACATAGGGTCATCGGGTCCTGTTGGTTCAAATCATCATGTCATATATTTGCTCCTGAGAAGTCCTGGCACTCTGGGTCATGCTGGCTCACCTTGCCTGTGCTTTCTCCTGAGTTACCCACCCCTCAGCCCTGCTGCTGCCAGGTGGGCATATCACCTCTGCTGCTGTCCATAAGAGTCCTCTATGGCCCAGGAGCCTGTGTCTTGAATTTCTAGCCATTCCGTCACTCCCTATCCTAAGGTGCCTCTATGTTCCATTTCCCAAGACCACACTGCCAGCGCTCTGTCTTCCATGCTGGACTCTTGACCTTCTCAGATAGAAGGTAGAGTGCTCATTTGCCTGAGTAGAGGCACATGTGGACATTTGGCCCATGGGCTCAGCCCCAACTGCTCCAACTGCAGCCCAGGAGCCGGCCTTTGCGCTCCCAGCTCCTTCTGCCCTGCCTCCTCTCTCACCTCCCATTTCCATTTGGAGACCTCCTGGACATCCTTCAGGCATAGCCCAATGTCCCCTCCCTTTGTGTCTGCATTATCAGGGTGGCAGCATAGAGAGATAAGAGCTTGAAGATTGAACTGAGGTGTGTTTGATGCCCAGCTGTGCCACTTAGCAGCCATGTGACCTCATGTAGGTCACTCTGAGTCAGTTCCATGTCCGTATGGGGGCTGGAACCACAGCTGACAGTTACTGGGAATGCACAGCGATGTGGTTGGAACATTTCACACCAGTTGTCTTACTGCATCCTCACCACAACCTAAGGAGGTGGACACTGTGGTTGCTACCATTCCACAGGGGGAAATGGAGGCACAGAGAGGTTAAGGTGGTAAGACCTGGTTGGGATATGAGGTCAGGTCTGGCTCCAGAGCCTGTGCTTGTCATTCCTTTCCTCTGCCCTTCTACCCCTGGCCCTGATGGCAAATAGCTCATGCTGCTGTGCCTGGTACATGTAGGTATTATTTGGGGTCACCAGATAGAGTCTGAGATGAGGAGTTGGCCCCCATTTGAAGGATTGGGTTGTGATGTGTGCAGGAGCTCCTCACCTTTCCCATCACTGAGCAGGCAGGAGCTGAGCTCCTGGGAGGGGGGGCAGTGGGCACAGTTGTTAAGCATGGGAGAGAGTGTCCACTGACCCATGAATGTAACCTCTTAGCAGATTTCTTCTAGGAGCCTGAGACCAGAGGCAGGAGAGTAGGGCTAAGGGTTACATAGCTCTTGGACTGCTAACATAGAGCCTTTTACTCCCCCAGGGCTGGCTGCTGGCAGGATGGACACCTGGGAGGAGGTGATTTGGTCCAATGGCAGCACGACGCTGCCCCCACCCCTGGCGCCAAACATCAGCATGCCTCATCACTGCTTATTGCTACTCTATGAAGATATTGGCACCTCTAGGTGAGGGGTCACAGCCCTGTTGGCAGGTTGGCTATGTGTGAGTGGGTTTTTCCAGGGTGTGTGTGTGTATGTGCATGTGTGTGAAAGAGAGAGAGAGAGAGAGGGTCAGCGTGTATGTGTTGGGGGTGGTGTGCATGCACAACCTCGCTGGTGAGCCAGCCTCTATACTCATCTGCTAGGGTTCGATACTGGGACCTCCTCCTGCTCATACCCAATGTGTTCTTCTTCATCTTCCTGCTCTGGAAGCTTCCACTCGCTCGGGCCAAGATCCGCATCACCTCCAGCCCCATTTTTATCACCTTCTATATCCTGGTGAGTTTACCCCAATCAGCAGCAGAAAACTCAATTCCAACTATATTAAGCAAAAAAAAAAAAAAAGTATTAATGTAATGAAAAAGTCCAGCTCGGGTATGGAGGGATCCAGCAATTAAATGATGTCATCAGAACTATGTCTCTCTGCATCTCTGGTTTCTGCTCTTCCCTGGCCTTCTCTCAGAGGAGTCTCTGCATATAGTGTCAAATATGGCCAAGAGCAGCTTTGAGCTGACATGCTGCCTCCCTACACACTCCAGCAGAGAGAATCTCTCTCCTGATAGTTCTAGTGTAGACCTGGAGTTCCCTCAGGTTGAGCCGGCTTGGATCACCTGCTCATCTCTGAACGAGTTGCTGGGGCTAGAGGGAAAGGGGTGCTTCAGAGCTGGAGGGTGGGTCAGCTAGGCCAGACCACACAGACTTGAAGGGTGGGAGGGGAGGTGGTCCCTGAAAGAAAATTGGGAAACTTTTCCTAGAGGAAAGGGGAAGGGATGCTGGATGGGGAAAAAAGACCCCTGTAGTCCCCATCTATCCGTTCATCCACTCTTCCATCCATCCCCACATTCCTGAGACCTCTTTGGCATAGATGCCTTGCCTCTGGGTGAGTCTGCATCCTCTTTCCTTGGTGGTCTTGTGGCATGCTGCCTGAGTTGATGTCAGGGCTCATTTGAGAGGGTGGGTTCAGGTGCCAGCTGTCCAGTTCCCTTCCTTCAGGACTTTCCTCCCTGCTTAGGTGGGGAGGGCCTGACCACAGGCCTCTCTGTGACCCTTGAGAACCATCCCCTGAGAGCTATGTGGCTCCCACAGACCTCTCTTTGTGGTCTGGTTCAGAACTTCCCAGGTCAGAAGAGTGGACAGCAGTCAGACTAAGAGGCAGGTGAGGGGGTATGGGGACCTTGGAAGCTGTGATCCACTGAAACTCCTCTCCCTCCTGTGGGCTGGTGGAGGGGCAGGGATGGGAACCGACGCCCTGCTTCTCTTCTGCTGCCTCGCTGCTCATTTACTCATGTATTTATTTAACAGATATCATGCACCCACTGTACACTAGGCTATTGTCCTTTCTGGGGGAGGAGGTAGGGAGAAGGGACCCAGGACTAATTTCCAGGAACTTATGGCATGTCCAGAGGAGTCTGTGCTACCCAGCTGCTTATTCTTGGGGTTCTGCTCCTAAAGAGCTGCGTGACTCTGGACCAGTGGCTTGGCCTCTCTGGGCCTCAATGCCCTCCTGTGTAATGAATGAATGTGCTTTGGCCATGGCATTGTTGTGAATACCAATGAGACAGCAGGCAGAACTCCAGCTCAATGGAAACCTGGCATTGTTGCTTTCTGCAGCCTTCCCTACTGAGTGGAGGTGGCCTCTCCAGGGCTTGGACCCTGCTTTCATGGCAAAGGGCTGGCACATGTATGAATCTGTGCTCTTACATTTGTATGTATCGAAAACCCAATTTAAATCACAGGCGTCAGAAGGAGGGTGTTGATTTGGGAACTGAGAAGTCCCAGGTCTTCAGGCCTGGGTGGATTCAGCTCACTGAGGCTTTTCCGTCTCTGTCTGCCCCTCAGCTTAGCTTCTCTCTGTCGGGCTTCATCCTCAAGGCGGCAAAGCAGCCCTAGCGACCTGGCTCCTTTCCCCAGGACAGGACTGTACCAGATGTCTTGGGTCTGATTTTCCCTAGACTCTTCTGAGTCCCTCTCCATCTCTGAGATGTCTTGAGGCTAAGGGAATGACATGCATTAACTAGCTAGCCCAGGGTCACAGGCCTGTCCCTAAGAGTGATGGGGTCAGCCTCACCCTGCACCACACAGACAAAATCCTGTGCTTTTTGCTTTTGTAAAACCTGATACCTGCAACTTACTACAGTGTCTTTGAAGCCTCTTTTTAGTAGCCACCTTTTCCTGAACCCAGTGTATCTTGGAATTAAAACTGTGAATGATAATACTGTTTCCATGTGATTAGTCCTTACCAGAGGACAGCACTCTTCTGCTGCATATATTAACCCATTTGATCTTTCCAACAACCACCATTTTGTACTTGAGGAAATTGAGGCACAGAAGTGCAGTTATTCACCTGAGGCCATAGAACCAGGAAGCAACCGAGCTGGAATTCAAACCTGGGCAGTTTGGTGCCAACATGTCCAATTCTCCTAACCAGTTTGACTCCTGTTTTGTTTCAAGGGTTGGACATCAGTGCTATCCAGGAAACTGAGGGCCAGAGAGGGCAAGGCCAGGTCAGGCTGAGGTCTTGCAGCATTGTGGGTCTTCCTGCTGTGGGTGCCCCACCTCTTGAAGTCCTAGGCCTGCCTCCTGATCCCCACCCATCTCTCTTCTTGGTGATAATCCTGTTTAGTTTGAAATCTTCCCTCCTGGAGGATTCAGAGTCTCCTGCAGGTGTAGGGCATGTGTGTGTGTGTGTGTGTGTCTGCAGTATCCACGGGATCTTGGTCCCCAACTCCGCTCCTCCATTCCCTCCCTCGCCCCAACCAGGTGTTTGTGGTGGCACTGGTAGGCATTGCCCGGGCTGTGGTGTCCATGACGGTCAGCACCTCAGATGCTGCTACTGTTGCTGACAAGGTGTGTCTGGGCCCGCTGATGGGGAGGATAGGGGTGCTGGATGCAGGGAGTTTGTGACTAAGCACTCAGGCTGATGTTCTGCCCCCTCTATGTCCAGATCCTGTGGGAGATTACTCGCTTCTTCCTGTTGGCTATCGAGCTGAGTGTGGTCATCCTGGGCCTGGCCTTTGGTGCGTGTGCCCCTGGGGCTCTGGAGCTGAGGCCAATGCCCTCCCCTCCCCTCCCTGGCTGGGGGTTGACCCTGATATCATCACTTGAGCTAGCTCCCACTGACAGATCTGCATGTTTTTCCAGGCCACTTGGAGAGTAAATCAAGCATCAAGCGGGTGCTGGCCATCACCACCGTGCTGTCCCTAGCCTACTCTGTCACCCAGGTAAGGGGGCTTCCTGACTAAGGCTGTGGGACAGAGAGGGCTTTAAACCTCAAGCTTGAAATGCACGTAAGAAATACCCTGGGTGCTTGTTAACAAGGAAGGCTCTCAGGCCTCTCCCAGAGATTCTAGCTCAGACGGTCACTGGGGTTCAAGAACCAGCTATTTCGCCAGCAGCCCATGTGGTGAAAATGCAGGTCTGCAGGCTAGACACAGAAACGTGGGTCTAGTGGCCCCTTCTCAGTTGGGGCAGGGACCACACCTCACCCATCTCTGCCCCTTTTCTTTTCCCAGCCACACGAGACTTAAACCAAGGCTGGGCTGGCTCTGGACACTGAGTTAGGTGGTCAGGGCATGGCCAGAAAGTAGGCTGGGGCAGATAACTCTGAGGTGCCCTGAGCCTCAAAGGCTAGGCTGAGAGGCTTGGGTGTGGTGGGAAGGAGAGCTGGTGGGCTTTAGATCAGGGGAAGGCTTTCCAGGTGGTGGGACCTGGTGAGACCCTCGTCCTCCTCCCTCTCTTCCTGCCTGGTCATGTAGGGAACCCTGGAAATCCTGTATCCTGATGCCCATCTCTCAGCTGAGGACTTTAACATCTATGGGCATGGTGGCCGCCAGTTCTGGCTGGTCAGCTCCTGCTTCTTCTTTCTGGTGAGGTGGAGGCTGGGGTCTGGGCCTGGGGCCCTTGGATTTTCACTGGGTTATCACTGGGGCCTGTGGGTGGGGCAATGCCTTGGCAGTGTGCTTAGGGTTAGGGTCTGGACCATTACTCCCCAACACCCTTCTTAGCCCTGCTTTGTGTCCACAGGTCTACTTTCTGATAGTTGTCCTCCCCAAGACGCCACTGAAGGACCGCATCTCCTTGCCTTGTGAGCTGCTGTGGGCAGGGTTGGGGGCCCAGTTTGGGCCACTGTGTGGTGGGTGGGTCCCAGGTCTCACATTGGGGATGATGAATGGCGGGTTGGGGAGGCAGAGCCTCCTCCTGTAAGGGCAGGACCTCATACCCTTGGTTTTACAGCACGGAGGAGCTTCTACGTGTATGCAGGCATCCTGGCGCTGCTCAACCTGCTACAGGGGCTGGGTAGTGCACTGCTCTGCGCTGACATCATTGAGGGGCTCTGGTAGGTGGGGCTGGGAAGGGGGCATCCATCAACCTGTAGGGGTGAAGCCAGGATGAGGGCAGTGGGGTGACTGAGTCTGACTTGGGGCATCCAGATGTGAAATTGAGACTGGGATAGGGGCATGGTAGGAAGTAGAGATGGGAGGGGACAGTGAAGTGAGGGTCTGGGTGGGACCAGGATGCAAGGCCCTGCTTCCTGACCAACTCTGACTAGCCTCCTTCCTTCCACTCCTTTCAGTTGTGTGGATGCCACCACCTTCCTCTACTTCAGCTTGTTTGCACCACTCATCTATGTGACCTTCCTCCGAGGCTTTTTTGGGTTAGTCCCTTATGGGGTGCTGGTGTCAGGGACCAGGGCTGGGAACTGGGGTCACAGCTGGGCTCCTGGCCTCAAGGTTCATGGGCACCCCCGTGTGGCCACTGGTGGAGTGACACTTTCTTCAGGGCACAGTGTGCACATGCATGTGTTGGAATGTTGGCACAGAACAAGGCAGACAGAGCATGTGCATGTATGTGTGTGCACATACACATATATAGATGTACATAATGCCCGCACCTACACCTTCCCCACCAAAGAAATAGCAGCTTTGCACATTGTTCTGCACATTCTAGTTTTCAAGTAGCACTGTGTTAAGTCATTCATTAAGAAGGCATTCATTGAATACCTACTAGGTGCCAGGCAGTGGCCCCAGCACAAGACCCAGCAGGAAGCAAGTAGAGACAGATCCCTGCTCTCATGGAGTTGGTATTCCAACTGAGGTGGCAGGCAGATAAGCAAGTTGGGGTGGAAAGTCCATGTGCATTTGAGTATATGGGTGGGGCATACTCTTGTGCATTTGTGTTTTGGGGGAGTGTCAAGGAGAAAGATGCTAAGGATATGTGGCCTTAGGATCAGACTCTGAAGTTCCTCACTGCCAGGTCTCAGGGTAGTGGGGGACCTGCTTCCTGCGTGGGTAAGATGGAAGAGGGTATTGGAGACGGGTCAGCACAAACTCCAGAATGAGAACTGAACCCTGGCCCTATCTCTGAGCTCTGTGTGACCTTGCATACACAGTGATCTCCCTGGGCCTCAGGCTCCAGTTTGTAAAATAGGTACAACAACCCCTTCTTCAAAGAGCTGTCCTGAGGATTGAGTGGCAGGCTAAGCTGAAGTGCATGATAATAAGTGCTACAGGGGTCACAGGGGCAGGGATGAGATCACAGCCAATGTTTACTGAGCATTTTGTGCCAGGAACTGGTTAAGGCTCCTAATTTATTTCTGTTCATCCTCTACAATGAGGTTGCAGTGGGCATTAGATGACACAGAAACCTCGTGCCCAAGCTCACACAGCTAGGAGGAGGAGGAGGGGCTGTTTGACTCCAGAGTCCAAGAGATGTGGGACCTCTTAGGGTGGGTGTTCAGATACCTGTTACCACACTTCCTGCCATACCTGATGGCCTCTTTGTTGAAGGAGGGAGGCCTTTCCTGAGCCACACAGTGAGGGTGCCTCTGCTTCTCTCTTCTCTACCAGCTCAGAGCCCAAGATCCTCTTTTCGTACAAATGCCAAGTGGATGAGGCGGAGGAACCGGACATGCACCTGCCCCAGCCCTATGCAGTGGCCCGGCGGGAGGGCCTGGAGGCCGCGGGAGCCATGGGAGCCTCTGCGGCCTGCTACTCGAGCACACAGTTCGACTCAGCAGGAGGTGTTGCCTACCTGGATGACATCGCCTCCATGCCGTGCCACACAGGCAGTATTAACAGCACAGACAGTGAGCACTGGAAGGCTCTCAATGTCTGAGGAGGCTCCTGGGCAGAGGACCTGCAGGGGCCTGGGGAGGCCAGACTGGAGAGGAAGCTTGGGAGCAGAATACAGAGTGGAAGAGAACAAGGCCAGAACCTTCTTTGGGTGGGAACTCTGTTCCAGGTCTCCTTCTCTCTGGTCTGGAGGTCTCGTCCTGCCCTCCTGGCCCCCTGCTCTCCTTGGCCACCTGGGACCCTGCTCCCCTTCTACCTACCCTCACCCTGCTCAGTGTTTGGCCCCAGGCGTGGACTCCTTAGGGCTAGTAGGCCTGGCTCATCTGGCTGAGGGCACCTCCTTTCTCCAAAGCCTTGGCACCCCTGGCTAGTCTGGTCCTTGTCACTCTCTACCTCCATCCCTGTGGGCTCTGGTCTTCTCAGAGCCACCATGGTGATGGGCTGAAGTGTGTATATTTTCTTGATCTATTTTTTAATAAAAAGAAAAAGGAGCAGAAGATGTCAATGTGGAGGTTGTACAGGAATGCTTGGCTGATCCTTCAGGAGCCTGAGGCCCTGCAGGACCCTTGGACGAAGTGCTGGGGAAGGCTCGCATCATTTCCTTTGTTTAACCAAGGAATCGGCTGGTGTGTGGCTCTGGGGGTGCTGCTGGGAAGTAGAAAGAAAAAGGTCTAGCCACCCCTGTCCTCAGGGCCTGTGTGCAAGCAGGAGACAGACATGGACCAAGAATGAGTTTTATAAGCTGTAGTTCTATCCCCTCTCTGTTAAAGAGCATGGGTTTTGGAATGAGCTGAGCTGGGCCTGTCCTTTCTCTACTGCTTATAATCTTCAAGCTGGGCCAGGCTATCCCCTCCCTAAGCTCATTTTGCCGTATATGAAATGGGGATATGAGTGCTGATCTTGCAGGGATTTCTGTAAGGGTTAGAATATAAGTATAAATGACTAATGTATGGTAAAGAAACAAATGATAGCTATTAATACTACTTTTAAGGAGCTCTGGTGGTGCAGTGGTTAAGGCATTTGCCTGCTAACCCGAAGGTTGGATGGTTCGAACCTACCAGTTGCTCCACGAAGAAAGATGAGGCAGTCTACTTCTGTAAAGATTTACAGCCTTGGAAACCCAATAGGGATTGATTGCTATGAATCAGAATCAATTTGACAGCTGTGAGTTTGGTTTGGTTTTGGGTTATTATTTTTAGCCCCAGAATAGTTCTTGGGACATAGTAGACACTTAACAGATAGGATGCTGGGGAGTGATATCTATAATAAGATGAACTAAATAGGCATAAATGGAAATAAAGCATTGGGATCTGTAAAATACAAATAGAGGAGGAAAGTTATACATATCCATGTTGTTGAGGTTGTACCTAAGTTTGACTTTGAGTTTCCTGGTGTCCAAAGTGAAAAGGGAGTTGCTGGTAATTATGTAATTCTTGTTGCCAGAGAGAGGAGTCCCTGGGTAGTGCAAACAGGTAATGCACTTGATGGCTAACTGAAAAGTAGGAGGTTTGAGTCCACCCAGAAGGGCCTTGGAAGGAAGGCCTGGGAATCTTCTGAAAAAAGCCATTGAAAACCCTATGGAGCGAGTTCTACTTTGACACACATGAGATTGCCATGAGTCAAAATCATCTACTTTTTTCTTTTTTTTAATTGTCAGAGAGGAGGATGTGACAGGGATATAACCAAGTATGATTCAGAACCTACAGGAGGTCTCAGTGGAGCCTTGTGGATCCGGAGGGTTGGGGCTGAGGCCTGCTGTATGGCCAGTCTTATTTCTTAGAAGGGTACCAAGGGTACTAGTTCCAATACAGCTTATTCTGTATGAAAGGGTAAGGATCCAGGGCCCAGGGGACCACTGGTAGGCATGAGCCCTAGCTCAGTGCTGAGGACCCTGCTGGCTCCCACAACACAGGCTAGCCTGGATGGGGGTTGAGGGCAGTGTAGGGCACAGTCAGTAAGCAGAACTTCTGAGTGGGGAGGGTTGCTGGCCCCTGGAAGGCTGCTTCTGGGTGGTGCTCTTTGCTAGGGCCTCAACTATGGGGAGACTTTGTCTGGGAAGGGCAGCCTGTAGGGCTGTCTGAGCAGGGACAGATAGTACGTGTGGCCAGTGAAGGTTCTCAGCAGCTGAGAACAGGCCAAGGGAGGGTTTGACATCCAATCCCAGAGTTGGGATCAGTAGCCTTGATCTATGCTAGACTTTTTTAAGGCCTTTCTGGCCTAAGATGTCACATTGTCACCTTTGGTCTGCACAGTGTGTGGTCATTGAGGAGATAGCTACATGGCAGGGTATGTCAACAGAAGTAGAGGGCAGAAGCCTACTTTGTGTTCTGTTTTAAAAGCTTTTTTTTTTTTTTTTAAATAGGTAATATATGTACATAATTAAAAAAAAAAAAGTCAATACAGGACAAGGGGTATGCAGGAGACCTTCAATTTGACCTTTAGTTTCCCTGTCTCCTTCCCTGAAACACCACTGAGGCCAGGATCTTCATAACCTCCCATAGATAGTCTGCGTATGTCTACACATATGTATGTGCATTACTGCTATTTTTTACATATGTGTTGTGTAACTTGATTCTGTCACCAATTGACCTTGGACATCATTTCATATCAGGATGCAAAAACTGCCTCACACTTCAATAGCTACACACATTATGGATAAGGATAAGTAGCAGTTTGTTTAACCAGTCATCTTATGGTGGACATTGAGAGTGTTTCCAACATGTTTTGCAGCAAGAAACAATACAGTGTGTTCTGGTTACCTAGTGCCGCTCTAACAAGAAATACACCACAAATGGGATGGCCTTAACAAACAGGAGTTTATTCTTACAATTTGGAGCCTTTAAGTCCAAGTTCAAAGTGCCAGGCTCTAGGGGCTGGGTGAAAGCCCCTCAACCTTGGGGTCCAGCTCTGCCTCCTGCTCCCGGCCCACTGGAGCTAGAGGCATTTCTTCACTCAGCTGCAGACTGCTGAGGCTGAGAAGCCCCAAGGTTGACAAGTAAAAAGGTACAGTCCTGATGTTACCAAATCACATGGCAGGCCATTAACTTAAGTCCATTGTAAGTCCCAAGGTCGGCAGAGCATAGTAGGCTGCTGAGCAACGGTTACATGCAGGGTCCAAGCATGCCATAGGCTAGAGACCATACCTAAAGGCTTCTCCTTATATACAGGAAGCAGACCACATACCCAAAGGCAGCTACCCAGCTGCTTGTGGTAGATCCCACCATGGAGTTGATTGTCAGTCTCCTCATGGAGATTAACTACTACCAGCTGCCCAGCCACTCAACCAGGCCCAGCTGAGTTGACACACAAACTGAACTATCACACAGTGACAAATAGCCTTAAAAATACGCTTTTGGTAACTTACGCAAGTGGAATTGCTGAAGCACAAAGTTTTAATTTGTTTAGTCAGTCTTTTGGCAGAGACTAATGGCTATCCCTCAGTATTTGCTCTCCCTTTCATTGTAATAGAATCCTTGAGAAAAGACAGCCTCAGATCAGACAGCCCCTCAGTCACTGAGTCCCAAGAAATGCACTTAACCACCAAGGCTGGGAGCCTGAGTGGCCATTTGGTCTTTCCACGGCTTTGCGCAGGAGCTCTGGTAGCATAGTGGCTAAGGCACTTGACTGCTAACCAGAAGGCTGGCGCTTCAAACCCAGCAGCCACTCCTCGGAAGGAAGATGGGGCAATCTACTTCCGTAGCGATACTGCTTCGGAAACCCAAGAAGGGGTCGCTATGAGTCGGGGCCGACTCGATGGCACATAACAACAACAACAACAACGGCTTTGTGCAGGACTGGCCAGAGACAGACCCACATTCCCCAGACGCCAGAACTGCAAATCAGAGTGTACCTTAGGGTGGGCCTCAGCACCCCATGCCCCTGGAGATGGGAACTTTAGTACTTCCTGCTCTGCCCAGGCCAAGGATAGCGGAAGGCTCTTTTGTGATCCTTGACTCAGAGGGCTGTCTCAACTTCAGAGCCAGTGGGTCTCAGTTCACATTTGTAGGTCATTCACGTGGCAGTTCCATACCTGTGGTAATGAGTAATTCTGCTAAGGTTCTATTAATTGCCCTACAAGATTCTTATCTAATCTGAGGAAACCCAGGCCCTGGTTGCTTGTCCCAAGGTCAGAGTCCTTTGGAAGCAGAGCTGGAGTTAGGCCAGATCCCAGTGAATCTGGGGCTTGGGCTGTGAGCAGACTCCACACCCTCTCAGGATGACCCAGAGGGGGCAGGGGAGGGGAAGGGCAGCTCTGCACTGTTGCACCCAGCAACACCAGTGTGAATGGGAGCTGACAAGTCATGGTCATCCATCAGGTTTGTGCATTGGAGGCTGACAGTGGTTGGTTGGTTGGTTGTTATCCAGGGGCATTATGATAGTCGTGGTAGATAACGATGTGTGCAGGCAGCATTCTAAACACTCCACATAAGTATCAATATGCCTACTTCACAGATGGGGAAACTGAGGAATAGGGAGGTCACACAGCCAAATGCATGGCAGGGTGGGACTTGAATCCAGGCAGCCTAACTCCAGAGTCTAGATCTTTAACCATTATGCCTCCATGACTCACAGCAATACCTTTCAAATAGGATAGGACCTTTGGATCGGGGTAGGTGCTGCGCCACAGGGACTGAATGAAGGAGATGGACACAGCCCCGGGCATTATGGCTGGGTGGAGTCCAGAATGTTGAGCAAGGAGTAAACAACCCAGTTCCCAGCCCAACTCTGCCACTTTCTTGCCTGCGACCTTTGCAGGGTCGCTTACTCTCTCTGCTTCAGTTTCCTCCACTTGTAATGTGGAACATTCTATAACACTTCCTTCCTATTCAGGGCCTGGCCCTAGCCACTTTTCCAAGGAGGGGGCTATTCCCCTTCCTTTCTAAGCAAGACCCTCAGCTGGTGTTGGGCTGCTTTGAGGGGGGAGGGCTGCCCGTGTAATTGCTCCTGTGGGCCTGGAGGCGCCTGAC